TTATTCTTTTGATGTTTACCCAGCCTACATACCTTTTGGAAGCTTAACTAGCAGTGTATTTCCTTGGGGTGAAGACAAGAATGTGCTTTTCTGTAGCAGACTTTCAATGTGCTAATGTTGCTTTGCTTGGCAGGAGCCCACCTGGATACCTCATTGCTCTCCTATCATCTGCCTTATATGAGTTTCAGACTCCATGAATTATTCACATTCTGTTAGATTATTCCTCCAGATTTTCTTTGTGAGGCCCACAATATTGTTGTTTCTAAAGTTGGAAATACAATTTTAAAGATTTTACGGTATCTCTTCTATGGATATTTTCTAGTGGCAGAGTTTAACCCATTTCAAGCATTTTTTTTTTTCCTCCAGAGCACTTATTCTGGCTTACTTCCATTTCATGCAATTTACATGTAAAATCTTGATAGAAATTGCATTTAGTGTTTTATACATCTGAAAACATCTGTTTATCATGTGTAACAGCATCTGTGAGGTGTGAGCTTAATTGTTTTTTGTTATGGTTGAAAATAGTATTTTTTTTATTTAAATGATGAACCATTTCTCAGCTTCCCTTTTAAAGCTCCCAGTGGGTATATTTTTCTAGTTTTTCTGTATGATATCATCTATGTATTATTAAGGCTCTCTGAAAGGTAGATAATCTTTAATCCCCATGCCCCTTCCTTCTGAAGTCATATGTAGCTCTGCAGTAAGTGAATTTTAACTGACCTAGTGTCCAGTGACTGCATTCAGTCTAGAATCACTTGCTGCATGCATCATGTGACACTAATCCTTTTTAATCCTTCTAGTAATGAACTCCAAATATACATGGTGACTTGTATTACATACTGTAAAGCTAGTCAATTTTTTTCCAACACAAGAGTTTTCCATCTGAAACGACTGATTCACTAAAATTGAAATTTTTTTTTTATAGATTTTTCTCTCTTGTAATGTCCAGCCACCCTGTCCTATGCCATCCTGGAATTCCCTGAATAGTCATTTGTGACTAGAATCTAGCCTTTTCAGTTTGAATCTTTTGGTTGAAAATCTGTCCCTCTGGGACCAATGGCCAACCCAGGATAAAAGCCTAGAATTCCCCCAACCAGAGTCCAGAAATGATTTTACAATTATTTTGCATAAAACCTAATGCCACCTCTGAGATGGAAGGCAGCTATTTATATGCACACAGTGTGCTGGTGAGACTTATGTATTCTAGTTCAGGGGAGAGACATTTTTGGCAATCCCTGATTCTGAAAAGGGCAATGGGATCTCTCCATGCAGGGTAGACAGGAACTCAGCTTTTAAGATCCTATTTGAAAGATCCCATCCAATACGTTTTATTAATCTGGACTTATCTAACTACACACGATGAAATGCTGGGTCAACTCCACTTCATATAGAAGCCTGGGATCACATTTTCAAAAGTGCCTAAGTAATATGGTAACCCAAATTATATTTTCAAATTGATTTATGTACTCTAGACTCCTAAATATCTCACTGAGACATTAATGAGTGCAACAAAGCTTTTGAAAATTCAAATTTACACCAACTCTAAGGGCGTGTGTAGACAAAATAGGGGCCCTAAATTGAAGTGGAGGGTTTTTAAACCCACCACTTCAATTTAGGGCCCTTAAAACCCCATGTCATGTACACACCCTGCACTTACCTGTCTCTCTGGCAGTGGGGAGGGGAGGGTGAGCTGCTGGCAGGCAGAGCAGTCCCTGGGCCATGAGGCAGGAGGGGGATTGGTGCTTCCCTCCACAGCAGTGGTGGCCCCTGCCCAGACAGCACCCGCCCACAGGCACCCTACTTAGGCGGTCCTGAGGGACAGCGTAGCCATGGAGGGAAGCACCAGGGCCCCACACAGCTCAGGTAGGCAGGCAGGCTCCAGAAGGAGGGAAAAAAAATCAGGATCACTGCTTTTCTTGGGTGGAGCCTGCCTTCCTGGGCTGTTGCCAGGCTTTCTGCAGAGCCCCTGAGCTACATGGAGCCCAGTGCTTCACTCTGCAGCTGTAGGGCAGCAAACTAAAATTTCTCAGAGGAATTTTAATTTGCTACACCCTGAGTCATTTAAGGTGCATTACACCACTGAATTTCCTACAGTGACTGGAATTAATGTGCAATACGCCACTGAGGCACGCAAACGCCAACACCATTAAAGTGATGCAAAAGCATTTAGCCCACTTGAAAGTGTCATGCACACCCCCCCCTCGTTTCGTCTACACATGTCCCAGGACAGTGAGTCCTAAACTGTGGGTCATGACACCAGATGGGGTTGCAACATCAGCAGATGGTATCGGGGGGTGGGCAGCTGTTGGTTTGAGTGAGGGTCCACGCTGAGGATATGGGGCCATAAAAGGGGTCATGCTGAGGAAAAGTTTGGGAAGCACTGGTCTAAGAGTCTGTGCTCTCCAGTTATAAAACCACAAAAATCTTTGTTCAAGAGAACAGAATTAGGAGCACTGTTATAGACTACAGGAGGACTTGGCTGCCTAGGAAAAGTTACGTAGCATCAGCTCTCACCAACTAGCACCACAAGTGAAATTTCTAGTCAATAATGAAATAGATTATTAGCTAATGGGGAAAATCACAGTGAAATAATTTTGGCAGTAAAAAAAGGATATATTATAGGTTTAGGGTTGATTTTTTTCAGTATTATGAAAATCTAAATTTAGAGAATAGATTTTTAGAAGAATAAAAAGTTCAGTCTCAGTCTGCTCCTCCACTCTTATGAGCATGAAAGCCAGGAAGTACTCTATGACTATAGAAACTAATATCAATTTAATAGGTCTGTTAATTGTGTCTACCATGTTTGTGCTGAAGTTCATAGAAATGGAATATGGTTTGATCCATGTTGGAAGATTTAGCTATTTGTATTCTGTCATTTGAAATAAGAATATCTAAAACAAATTCCTTGATGGCAACTTCTTCCAAACCTGTACTACGTTAAGCAACACACACAGCTGGTTTTTATACAAGTCATAAATTGTATGGCTACATACAGTATTTATACTCATGTCAACCAACTCAAAAGTACCAATTCAAAATCAAGCTGTCAGGAGCATATTGTTGATTTGTAACAATCCTAAGAAAACACTGTGTTCATAAAGTAATGAACAGATTACATGCATCAAGATAATGTTATAGAATTCAAGTTTTATTTCTTACATGAAATGTGTCTAAATATTACAAAGAGATTGAAATATCATCAGTTCCACTAGACTACGTGTTTATAGAGTAAGTACAAATCATTTCATCCAAAGTGAGTTAATAATTTTTAAATATGAATTGTAGAAAATACAATTTATTTAGAGGATCTCATTACAGAAATATATAAGGCAACACAAAAGAATTAAAGACAATTGGAAAACAATTGTGAGATAACTAAGCAAACAAGGTAGGACAACAGAAGGAAATATTGTTAACTATTTGTTCTATCTAGCCATAAAATTAACCTTCAAAATTTCTTTATTGATATTGATTGTCAATAAAATGAGAAAAGACATTGTTAAAATATCCATAAAATGTCTTAGAGAAATTGAGGTAGAAAAAAATGCAAGGTTATTTCTGAAAGGAAATACTAGCCCTAAATGGTCCGGGCCCTATATACTTGTGGGGCATCCTTCTCTCTTATGCCATATTGTAATCCCTAAAGTCAGTAGATTGCAATATCCTACAGGTACCATCAGTAAGCCCAGTTTGCTTGGTGAAAATGAGTGGAAGTTTATGTTCCACAGTTACTTCTGAGCTCTACATCTTCCTGTCTCTTGAGGCTTTTCAGCACTTGAGCCTGGATATGTTTTAGAAGGGCTTTAAGATCTTCCTATTTGGCCAGGCATTCCCCAAACAAAATTAGGATGAGATGCTGTTTATGGGGTCTCTGTTTTATCTTGATGTTCTATTTCCTTTCTAAGCTGTTTTGGTCCTCTGGTCACTTTCCTTATTTTAAATTATTCTGTTTTGTATTGAAAGCCACCTTGAGCCTTTGTTGGGAAGGATGGCATAAAAATCAAATGAATGAATAGAAATATTAATAAGGCATTTATGTAGCACTAGACCTAACTTTTTCCCCTCTGGAATTGAGAATGTAACTCAGAATGCCAAATTAACACATTTTCTCTTGTTAAAGGATGGTGGAGATTGATAGTTTTTAACCTTGTCAGAGTCACAACACCCCTCCACCATTTTTTCTTGTGTGTGGCAGGATCTCCAGTTGAGAACTACTGGAGGTGGAGGGGAGTGGGGCAAACGCCTCCGGTGCCGAAGCAAAGGGGCACCAACAGGGGCTGCCCAGCTGGGGCGAGGTATGGGATGGAGCAGCAAGCGGCTGGTTTGAGGGAGCACAGTTATGGGGGAAGGGTGGCTCTCACCATTGCATGCACTCCTGGGCAAGCATGAGGGGGCATGTGCCCCCGGATCTGTGTGTGGGGTGAGAGTAGGCTGCCACTGTGGGGTTTACCCCTGGCACCAAACTTCCTTGCTACGACACTGGATCAAAACATTTGAAAGTATGATTACATAAACAGTAATTAGGCTATTTGGCTGAACTTCACCCATATATTATATATTATGGATTGAGATACTCCTGCTGAAAATTTTGTGAGTGAAAGATTTCTAATGAGATTAATAATGGATTAATTCATGCTCTAAGCTTGGACCAGAAAGCATATGTACCTGAAAACTGATAAGCTACTAAACTACTTGTCTGAGTGTAAATTCAAGGCAGCACTAATTTTACCTCAACATCTACATCAGTTGTTCTCAATCAGGGTGTCACGGGACACTTCACTTCACAGGAGTGTTGTGTTAGTGGCTGTCATGTAAAAGTGCCCCATGCCCAGGGCTGCAGCATGTGCACACTCCTGCTGCATTCAGGCTTGCTGATAACCTTAGAACAGTAGTTTTCAACCTGTAGTCCACAAAACCCCCTGGAGGTCTACAAACTATGTCTAAGGGGTCCAGAAAAGATGACTATGATCAATCAAAAGTATGCAAATACCCACACTTACAATTCAAAGGGGTCTGCACCACCATTCAAAGTGTTTTTAGGTGTCTGCAAATGAAAAAATGAAGGTGCATTCATATCACTGAGACTTTCATCCTATAAGTTTGATACCTTGATGCCAAGATCAGGAAGTATTATAAATAATTACCTAGTGGTAAAATTTACAATTGGATTGACCAGCTGACAGACCACTAAACTGAATAATGCACTGCATCTCATGGGAAGATCTTTCTCATATTCATTTTATTGATAATTTTATTTCCCCACCCCAGATCAAGAAGTTAACAATGGCATTATTATGTCACCCTTCTAATGTCTTCCTAATTTTACTTTATTTTGTAAAGTAAAGCAAATGGTTGCTTATAGGACTAAAATAGGCAATAAATGTCTCAAGGAAGAAATAAAGAATGACTACGTAGTGTGTGTGGGAAACCTCAAAGTGATTTTAAACATTGACTTGACTTCACAATTAATTCTCTTGCTTATCACTTTTAACTCTTGTCCCAATTTGATATGCATTTGAATCATCAAATGATGAAGCTTTTTTTATACTGTACCAGTAATATCATTGCATTTGCTTTTAACTCAAGATTAAATTAAAGTGTTAGGCCATATAAAAGAAAATGTAAATAAATTATATTTCAAACAAAACAATTAATAATAGAATATGTTTCGAACTTCCTTTCATTTTGTCAGTGAAAAAAATTGCAGGCAATTGGAAACAAATTAAATGAACGGATGATGTGAAAAGGAACATTTAGGCAAAATAACAGGAAACAAGAAATTTCCTGATAAAGGAGAGACTTCGAAAAGAATTAAGTTGAGTGATTTGTAATTTAAAATGAGACGGGATAAAGAACAAAATATAGGTGTTGCCAAGTATGGGGTAAGACAATTTAGCCTTCTACATAGTTGTTTTCTAGAACGCGAATCCTGTGATCCTTATACAAACACATTTCTATGGCATTAACAGGAGTTCTGTTTGGGTTGAGACGGTAGGATCAGACATCGTATCTGTGATAAATGTGATATGGCAAATATACAAATGTTATACTTGCTTAAATATGTGCAAACATGTTATACCTCTATAGTCCCAGTTCTTAAGCCATACAACTGCTAAGTTTTAATCTGCATAGCTTGGACTTGAAGAGAATAGGAGAATGTTCCCTTCAAAACATTTTTATGAGTGTTTGAAATTGATGATGATCAAACTGTGGTGTAGCTATTAATGCACCTAGGGGACTTCAGCAGGTGGAGTGTATGTTATTATCTGAATAATCAATAAAAAGAAATTGCTGCTTATTGGGGAAGGATAGAAATGTAATTGAACAACTGGTTGACTTGTCTGTTTAAGTGCCCTTGCTTTCGAATGCTGCCATCTCTGAGATCCTCTAAATCTTGAGCAGGATCAGAATGGAAAATTGCAAAGATAATCCAGACTCTATTTTTAGTAAGTAAAGACTCCCATCATGCTTCTTTGTGCCATGAACATTTTTGTGAAGCACCTTCAAAATGGTACATACACATATAAGTGTACACATAAACTCTCCATAACAGACTATCCTTGAAAATGCCTGACTTCACAAAAAAGGAGAGCATTTGGTTTGGGGTTGCTGACATTCATTTTATTAAAAAACAAAAACCCCTCTAATACCTAAAGTATGATGGCACTTACCAGGTTATTTAGCAATTAGGAGGGTGACAGCAGCCCAGTGACAAGGAAGTAATTATGGTTTGAGAGGACAGCTGTCTGACTTCTAAGAAGCAAGGGCTGCATGGCTCACAGGGCACACACCATGGGACCCATGTGAGTGTGAGCCATGGGCACCCAGGCTGCACCCACTGCACTGTACCACATGGTTAGGCAGCCCCCTTGCACCTGCAACTCATGTGGGTAACCCATCCTGCTCCAGTGTAGCACTGCATACGTATGGAGAGACAGCACACCTCCCTTCTGCACCCCCTCCCGCACCACAAGATGGCATGGACTAGCGCCGCCTTGGCTCCCTCTCTGCAGTGTGCTGCAGGCTCCCCCGGTGCTGTGGGCTGTGCTGTCCGGCACCCTGGGGTGAGAGCAGGAAGTGAAAGTAGAGGGGAGGGAAGGGGAGCCTAGAGATCCCAGTGGCAGCAGCAGTGGGAGTTATAGCAGAGCAGTTGCTGGATACAAGCTCAGGAGCTGTACATTAAACCCTTGTAGGCTGCGTGCAGCATATTGGTCACCAGTTTTACAGCCGTGGTTTGAAAGGAATGAAAGGCTTTTAATATTAAGAATCATAGGACAAGAGCAGTCCTCATGGGTCACTGGAGTCAAGGCCCCTGGTATTAAATAGCATGACTCTGATTGAAAGGCTATTCCAGAACCTTGCACTTAGATAGCTAGATGCCTTCTACGCTACAGCTTAAATTTATTCATGGCTAGTTTATACCCATTTGTTCTGTGCCACTGTTGTCTTTTTAGTTTAAATAATTTTTTCCTTCCTAGTATTTACCCTTCTCCCTACAATATATTTATAGAGAGCAATCATGCCTCCTCTTAGTCTCTCTGGTACATTAAGCAACACATGCTCTCTCTGTCTCTTCAAACAAAATAGGTTCTTCATTTCCATAATTATTCTAGTAACCCTTTTTTATACTTCTTTTATTTAGAATTCATCTTTCTTCAACATGGGGGACCAGAATAGTATACAGTATTCCAGACACGGTGTAAACAGTGTCTCGTTCAGTGATATTAATACTTCCTTATCTCGACTGGAAATAACTTTGCTGATAAATCCTGGGGTCATATTTGCATTTTTTTCAGATACCTTCCATTGGTAGCTTAGTTATGGATCTGGGGTCATTCAATTCCATCTTCCTTTCTATTGTGTTCAGCTGCTTAGCTCCCAGTTTGTGGATGAAATTCTTGTTATTAAGTATGTGATCTTATATTTTTTCACTATTGAATTTTATCCCATTTCCTCAATGCCACCCAGCATTCTGTGCATGATATTTTGATCCTCTTACTTATGGACAGTGTCTCCCAAACTTTTCTTTATTAACCAGTTTCATTGGTATTCTTACCTTATGTGCTAAAATTATTAATTAAATTAAATCAGACAGTCTTAGAATTAAAAAAAAAATACTAGCCTTCCTCCAACCTAGTAGTTCTCCTTTTAGCATAGCCCAATGAACTTTCTCCATTAGTCAGTTCTTCTTAAAATTTTTATACAAATCTTCTCTGGTGTACCTAATAACTTTCTATGTGATGCAATATCAAATGTTTTACTGATATCCAGGTAGATAATATCTACTGCATTTTCTTCTTGTAAAAATCATCTACCTTATCAAAGAAAGATGTAATGCTAGTTGGATCTTCTGTTGGTAATCCCCTTTTTCATTTTATCCCATTTTACATTTATGTTCATATCTATAAAGCCAAAATGAGAACAACACAAACCATTAGACAAACAAGGGGTAAAATAACTTTCTGTATCTAATTTAAATAGGCAAGGATACAGATTTTATAAATTAGGGCTCATCTTCAATGTAGGAAAAGTCCCAGATGCCCTATGACATTGCCATTAAAGTGAATCCTTATCTTTAATCTCCTATTCTTTTGAATCCCAGTGGCATGTACACCAAACAAAGCAGCAGAGTAAATTCTGCATTTCCCAACAAAAATGTAGCAGCTGCTGCTTTTCATTTAGGATATTGCCCTGAAGTGGTTTATTCCTGTTGCTTTAACATTTTGAAAGTTAATAATTATTATCTTTATCAATAAAAGTAGCCCTACTTTCAGTATTTCAGTGTGGAGTCTTACTAGGCTATTGAAATCCTCCCTCTACAGATTATTTATATCAAATTGATATGGAACTATTTATCAAAATGTGATAAAGATGCCAATAACTGATATAATTATGAAATCTGCAAATACATTTTTAGAAAGATTATGAGTTCAAATTAAAATGCATGTATAATGAAATAGTGTCAGCTTCTTCCCTGTTAGTTAAAACCTGTACTGTTCCAGACCAATGATGAGTTGTTCTGCAAGAAATAAATAAGTAGAGATAGTTGGAACCTTTTTCTAGAACTATGTTTTGATATGAATGAGTTGTGTTGAAGCTTAACTTTTTGTGGAACTATATTCAATGTTTGGCTCATTAAGGGCATCAAACAGACTTTGACTCAAGTGCAGTATATATTTATTAATGATCTAGTCCTACTTCCATTATAGTCTTACTATGTTTATCTAAATCCAAGATGACTTTGAATTTAAGAAGACCCACCAGTAATTGGATTCTATACATGGAAAATTATAAATTTGTCTCCGTCACTTTTGTGGTAGGAAAAGCGGTGGCATAGAGACAAGTAGTGGAGAAAGCAGTGGTGGGGAGACAGGCACCCTTACCCTTTCCCCACCACTTGCCACCCCTGTGCCTGAATCCTCCCTCCCCAACCCTGGTAGTATCTCCAGTCTCCCCTTGACTGTCCCCTCCCTGCAACCTTCCCCCATCTTCCACCATTCTCCCTGGCTGATCTGCATGCAGAGGGAGCCCCAGACCTGCTCCTGCCCTGCTTCTGTTTCATGCTGCAGGGAACCTGGCTCAGCTGGGAACGGCAACAACAGTGCCAGTTTTATACGTCCAGCTGCTATGCTCCTCCTAGTTCCCCTACCTTTGTGGCTGGGGCCAGGGGCTGGAAGAAGGAACCTGTCTGTTGCTGCCACTGTCCTCAGTGGAGCTGGGCTCCCTACCTAGTTGCTTCCTGCAGTGAAGGTCAGGTGTGGCTCTGAAGGTCCTCTGTCTCAGCAAATCTAAGGTACAAATCTATCCTGCTTTTAATAAGATATTTGCCTGAAAGTACTTTAATCTATCTTACCTATTTTACCTATAACTATGCATTTAGGAAGTAAACCAGTTTTGGTCACGGGCAATGTGTAACATATACATGTAGATGGATCTGTTTACCTTCTGCAAGATTTTTATATCTACATATTCAAATACAAACACTTTTTAAAAGTTATTTCACTAAATACTTATTCCAAGGCTATGATCCAGAACATTTTCAGATGGTATATTACTATATTAATCTGATAGCACAGAAATCAATGCTTTAGTCAACTAAATATTGATTATGTTTAAAGTTGGCAATATGGGTGTTCATCCAAACTTTATCCACTACTAGATCCTTTTAGGTACACAAAACTCATCTATAATTGTGGGGTTTCTGCTTTCATTTGCTGCTCCTTGAATTAGAAATGTAAATTACTTTTCTTCATGAGGTGTTTTGCAGTTTTCTTCCAGTGCCATCTGATATCAGGAACTAAATAAATTCTAATAAAAGATTCACTACATGAGAACATAAGAACTACTAAAACAAATATTTTAATCACTGAGGCCCTTTCTACAGATTACAGGTGTTGCACAATTAAGACCAGCTACACTTGCAAAGTAGCTATTCTAATATAATAAAAGCCTTTGTCTGTCTATCTGTAACACTTTATTTGCACTCTGATTTGTTGTTTCGGCAGCCAATCACAATGCTGACTGAAACAACCAATTGCAGTACACCATGAGCATTCTGGACAGGAGGGGGTGGTGCCAGTGCCAGCAGGGCACCACCATGATGCCGGGGATGGAGAGGACAGACAGGAGTGGGGGTTGGGGGGACATGGCCACCCCTTGGACCAGCAAGGATGGAGTGGGGGTCAGGGGGCAAGGCCAGCATTGTGTCACCAGCACCCTGCACTGTTGCTTCTTCCAAGGATCAAGGCCAGGGGCAGGGCTAGGCCATCCCTTGGATGCAGCAGCAGTGTGGGGTGCTGGTGGAGGGGATGGTGGGCAGGCTTACCCCCACCCTGCTCCTAGCAGGCAGTGGTGGTGTGCTATGGTTGGTAGTGGCACTCCATGCCTACCCCCCACCAGCAGTGAGGGGGAGGTGGTGGGGAAGAGAGGAGGAAGGAAGGGGGAGAGAGAGGAGTGGGATGGGGAATGGTGAGGGTTTCTAGTGGAGCTGGCAGGAGCGTGGGGTGGAGCAGCATGGCATGGGCAGGGTGCATGGGGCCAAACTGGGAGGGTGTGGAGAAGCTAGAGAGAGTCCAGAGGAAAGCCATATGCATGATCAGAGCGCAGGAAAACAGGCCTTATGATGAGAAGCTGAGAGCCAT